CGAGTGGGCTTTTGAAGCCCACTTCGGATGTGTGTCGGGGGGCTGCGGTGAGAGGGGAGTCCGCACCCTCTACCGCTGCAGCCGAGGTGGAGTCGCGGAGGAAGAGGAGTGTTGGTATGGCGATGCGCCACTCGCCCTATCCTCCGCGACTCTGACGGGGCCGCACCGTTAATGATGCGGTGGTGATGGGGCTGCGGGGGGAGAGGAGTGTCGGTATTGCGAGGCGCCGCTCTCCCTACCCTTCGCAGCCGAATCTCGGTTGGCGGCGGAGCCATAGACCAGATCCGCCGCTGGGGTCAGGAAGACCGGTGCTTCTGAGTGCTAGTTTTTCCTGGCCCCATGGCCTTCGCGCATCGGACACGGGGGCGTCCGTTGCGCATTGGAAATTGGAGGCCGAGGAGGAGGGCGCACCATGTGTTCTGGTGCGCCTTACCTGAGAAGGAGATGGGGGAGGAGTGTTCCTCTCCCGAGGAGGGGCCGCCATGGGGCGGCCAGCGCAGGTGGGGCCGCGGAAGTGTGCGAAAGCGTTCCCGTGGCCCTGCCAATATGCGACGAGTGTGGAACACCATGGGGTTTTAGTCGGTGCGAGTCCGACATAACCCGTCCTTGCCCCCGCGAGGCGGGTATGCGTAGGCATTTCCCCATGTAAAAAAAAAAAAAAAAGGTTAGGTTAGGTTAGGTTAGATTTTAGTCGGTGCGAGTCCTCCGACATAACCCGTCCTAGCCCGTGCGAGGCTGGTAGGCGTAGGCATTTCCTCATGTAAAAAAAAAACAGATTATGACCAGACAATGTGATGAATAACGAGGTTTAAATCAGTATTGACGTAACCCGTACATAGTTTGACTTGTCATTATTCATATTGCCTAAACATTATAAATTGTGTCCTGATTAATCACTTGGTCCATGGGTCAATCAACTATTCGACCCACATTTTGAAGAGGTCAGGCAAAATATTTTTTTGAGAAATAAATATTTAATATATACATTCCGACATGAAAAGTGTGTTAGAAATATCAACTACTTTATATATTTCAAAGGGCCACGACGTTCATTTATTATTTTGGCCACAATTTGCGAAAATGTATGAGCACCCTCTAAAAACTGTCTACTGCGTAACTTATATATAGTGATCGATATAGTCTGAATAAAACAAATATATAAATGATTCGTAGCCTTTATTTACTTTTATACGCAAAATTAATTGCTGTAATAAAGTCAGTCTTAACAATTGTTTAGTTTTTATCTTAAAAGTAATCAATTAATTGTATCTTGCGTTACCAACATCCAAATAAAACACGCAACTTTTCATTAAATCTAAATAGGTAATAAGATAAACGTAAAAAATCTTTCCTACAGATGCCCTTTTATCAACAGTATATTAAGATATAAAAATATAGATTCTGATGTAGGCAAGAAGATCGCTACGTTTAAAAACAAAAATTTAAATTAAGGGACAAAAAGTAACTTCAGAGACAAACTTGGTAACGCCTAAGACATAAAATCAAAAAACTTAAAAAAATTTATTACTTTTAAACATAATGACTTTGAAGTAAGTAACAATCATAAGTAAGGAACAAAATAATATCACATTTAGAATAAATATTCTACTATTAATAATCAATCTATATGAATATCTTTAGATCAAATGTCGACAGTAATTACTTTTCAAATATATCAATGGAAATAGGAAATTGGTACATATCTTCTTCCAGAAGGCTTGGTACCGGCAAGATACTAATAACATCTTCATAATTTACGTAGCTGATATCCCACTTGTCTAGTCTGAACTTCTTCGCATCATTACCAACTACCCGTAAAAACATAACTTTAATTTCACAGTCTTCTTCTTTAGAGGACAAAGCCTTGCAAACGTAAGAATAAATATTCTTTTTTTTATAACTGCCATAAACATAAACATGTAAAAAATCACCAATTGATACCTGTCGAGGAATTTTGTCGTAACTAGTGGAAGCTACTTGGTCCCTTTGAAAACGAAATTTATCATCTATAGCGATAGATTTACGATTTTCCTTATTAATTTGTGACTCGTCTTCATCACAATCGGATGCTCACAGCTCGGTAAATACTTCGTTGGGATGGTGGATATATTTTGGATTTATTTGAGTACGGCAAGAGGAACGTCTTCAACAGACGGATCTTGAACATCGTGCCTTTCTGGTTCGAGGATTTGCTTAGCAGGGTCAATATTTGCAATATTACGAGTGAGAGATTATTCCGAGTGTTTCTTTAAGTAATCTTTCTAGATCTTTCAATAAGGCCAGACATGAAAATGCTTTTAAGCAGTCTTTTGTCGCTGACTCCTTATCGTCTTGTACCGATCTTTTATAGACTTGGTCAAAATATTATAACTTTTCTCCTGGTTTCTCGTTAGTGTTTATTTCTTTTTGTTTACTTCGCATTTGTTTTTTCTTATACTTTTCACACAATCTCTTCAATTTTTTATTTTCCTCCTCCAATTTTTTGTTTGCTCTATATACTTTGGATTTATATTTCTTCACTTTTTTCCATCCTCGCTCCCTAGACGCATTTGAAACCGGTGATGCAGGTGGTATTTGGTGGACTTCTTGAATATCTTGTACTCTAGGTAATGGAGAACTTGGCGGTGTCACATCTATAATACTTTGTAAATTCTTTCTTCTTTCCTTGTATTCCCTTTGTCTTAGTTTCCAAATCAAATTGGCTTGTTTCCTTTCTTTCGGTAACAAATCTTTTGCTAATCTTTTTATTTTGTGGTAGTGCTCTCTATGTTTTCTTTTGCTTTCTTCATATTTTTCAGGGTTTTGTTTCAGCCTTTCTCGATATCGCTTCTGATTTTCTGCTGCTGTTAAACGTGCCATTGCATGTCTAAGGAAGGTACAGTTTTTAAGTTTCAGTTTATAAGAAATTATTCAATACAATATAAGAAATAAAAGATGCAAATTAATAAGAACTAGCTTCTGCTTTCGATTTTTTACCAAAATAAAAGTATCTTATATCGTTATCTAGGTCACAGTATACTGTGAGTCGAATTTCATCCAAATCTGTCAGTAGTTTTTGTGTTAATAGGTTGTTACCAACAAACACTCACTTTCGCATTTATACTTAACATTTAAGTGAGGATAATTGTCATTGAAAACAATGTGCTAGTGAAATAGGAGAAGTATATATTGACAATGAAATAGTAATACACGAATCATTTATAAAAATATGTACTGATTTTAGTTTGACGCCACAACGTGTTTGACAGCACGCGAATGTCTCTGAAGTTACCAACAATGTCTATGGAGTTACCTTCAAAGTAACTCAGTATTCCGGTAACTGAGGAGACAATTCAAGTACTTTGATGAAAAATACATATTATTATAACTATAAAAAAATATGTAACATATGATTTGGTCGATAACCACAGTTAGTACTATGTAATATTATTATTAAAAAGTTACTACATACATTTTACGAGAAAATATGGTAACTCAGTTGACGGCGCAAAAAGGTACGGACACTCCCTGCGAGCGTTCGAGGCAGACTGACTGACTTGTCGGCACTCATTAAAGTTTTGCCCGCCGTTGTTATACGATACGACTTTAATAAAGTTAGCAACGGCAAGACATACCATCTAGGCGTTCTTTTAACGCAATTTTTTTAGGTAACACAGCATACACGTGCAAAAGGAATTTATTGAGGGACAGTCCTAAATGTTTTTTTTTGTTCTAACATTTTATATTTATTTAATATCAGTGGTTAATCATGGTAAAGTTTATTGTTTTGTCTCTTTGTAAAATTAATTTCAAGATAGGGTTTTATAGAAAAAAATAATTTCATCTGGAATTCACATGAGAGTCTATGGTCTCGGGACAAGGATTTTTTGTATGGGAGCTCTTTTTGATATACTGAGTTACTCTAAAAATCAAAACAAATTGTTAATTTTCAGCACCTTTAGCATTTTTCTGATGATGCCTGATTATTTGTTATGTGTTTAGAATACCATTTACCTATAAAAAACTTTTGAATAAGTCATTAAGTAAAAATGACTGCTAGGGACACCTAAGTGTGGGTAAAAAAGTTGATCCGCCCCCATAACAAATACATATAATATACGAATCCATTTTTCTATTCAAACATTGAACCTTACAAAAACAGTAAAGCAAAAGGCAGACTCAATGCCAAAATCATTCACTGCCAATCAACCTTAGGGACAGTGATAACAAACGCTACGAAGTAATTCTTGTATGTAACTTGTTTCTCGGAAACGACTCTAAAGAATTGGTTGAAATATAATTAAATAACGTTTTACTTTCCAAGTTCATCTAGATAGGTATCTGAATGAGAGATAGGTATCATCCAACCCTGAAAAAAAAATTCTAACGCCGAGCAGAACTCGGTTATTGATGTACGTTTTTAATTAAAAAAGGCACGTTTATGCTGCAGAAGTGAATGGCATAATCGGCAAGTCGCCCTAGAAGAAGCGATATTTGACCTATCTTTAATATACAAGCGTATATTGAAGATGAGTCAAATTAAGGGCACCTTTAACCGACGAACACTATGCTTAGATAAAAGGATGTGAAAGAAGCGAGAGAGAAGAATTATCTACTTCTGCTGCTAGATTACATTTCTCTGCTGACAAAAACATGAATATACTATATAACACCCTTTAATAAAAAGGAGTGATTAAAGTAGGTTTACAATTTACGAAGAAGAAGTGTAGCAGACGCATAAAAAATATAGATATTGCCATATTTGCCACGCTGGGCCAGTCGCTGCATTTTATAATTTTAAGTTGTTATCAGGAAAATGCTCCTGCTCGTCTGCTGTTTTAGTTTCCCTCTGTCGCCTATCACGACACCCACGGAATATAATCGGTAATCGATATTCTTACACCGCCACTACACAACTTAATTTTACTAAAATATACAGCAAGATTTGTAGAATTTTTATTTTTATTAAGTTTAATAAAAAAAATCTAAATGAAAATTACAATTGTAATCCAAGCACTAACCTTGCGGCGAAGCGAGACAGTTATCTCTAGATAGAGCCGCGAGCGCATCGCTTAGTCTCCGAGCGTCCGACGCCTCCGACAGCAAATGCAACTGGTCCACGCCCACGTCCTCCACCGTCACGCCCTTATATGACGTCTCATAGATAAAACCCAGCGATGGGCTGCAACAATAATAATCAGTGAAAACAGTATCTACTACAGACGGCTATTGTGGAACATGTCAAAATTTGAAAAATATTCACGTGAGCACTATATTCCATTTCATCTCATGGGTCTCGTAAGAGGCAAGATGAAAAGGACAAGACAAGACCTTACGGCATTCGATAGATAGCGGTAGGTAAAATCATCTTTTTCTACCGACTTTAAAAAGGTACTCAATTCGAATGTACGTTTTATTTTTATGTGTGTTACCTCATATCTTCTTACTGGGTGAACTGATTTCGATAATTCTTTTTTATTTGAAGACTGGTGCTTCCCATGTACATTTGATCAAGGTCTGACCAATAGTTTTAGAGTTATTCTAAATAATTTATACTGAAGTCGGTTGTACAAAACTTTTAACTTTAAATTATATAGAATAAGGTTGAAAGTGAACACACGGTCCACTTGATGGTAAATGGATGTTGTGACCCATAGACATCTAACACTAAGGTGAAAGATAGACGTAGACGTCTATGATTCTTAAATCAAGTAACGTTATCATCCCTGAGGACTAAGATAGAATGATCTCGTTTCCAGTGAAGAGGGTCGCAGGTTCTCTACTCTCACCATTACGAAACACAACATTAAGCTGCTATTTCACGCTGGTATTCTGTGAGAGAATGGTCTTTCGCCAGTCCAACCGACCCATTCGTACTACAAACAACAAAGCTGCAGTATGGGTAAACTGCGTTAGTAAAATTTCGTTGATGTCTGGTGTAAAAATAAACTAACCGCGTCGAAGGTGCGAGACGTCGATAGTCAATAGGCATGTAGTGTTTATGCACAGCGACGAACTGTTTTTAGATAATTGATGATATTATGTTAAACTAGCGATCCGCCCCGGCTTCGCACGGTCTATTTCTGAATCTAGACAACAACGCCACCTACCGGGTCCAATTGTGTATGTAAACCATTCTCTAATCAACTTAAACACACACACAAAATTTCACCAAAATCGGTCAACCCGTTTAGGAGTTTAGTCACATACACAAGGATTTTATGTCTGTATAAGCGATTTCTTCCAGACAACCTTTGGAGAGAATCTCAAAAAGCAGAAAATTATGGTTTGGTGAAGCAAAAACAGAATATTTATAAATAGGCACGACTCGCTGACAGAGGTAGTGCATTTCATAGACGTAGTGCTTGAATAGTAAACGATCTTTAACAGTGGTAGAGCCACGCGGCAGAATTTGCTGTCGCACGGATGGGCCGGCTCAAACCGGGGTGGTACCACGACCTCACAGAATACCAGCGTGAAGTAGAGGTTTACCTCTGCGTTTGGCTTGGTGAGTGCAGGTGGCCGGAGGCCCTTTTTACTGGAAATGAGGCATTCCATCTTAGTCCTCACGGGTGACAACGCATTTACATTTTGATTTGTAACAGAGGATAGATTTAGATGTCTATGGGCCGCAGCAACCACTTACCATCAGGTGGACTGTGTGCTCGTAAAGACAGAAGAAATATATATAATATGCATGTTCTATACATATAAACCTTCCTCTTGGATCATACTGTCTGTTGACGAACCGCATCAACATCCGTTGCGTAGTTTAAAAGATCTAAGCGTACAGACGGCGGGAAACGACTTCGTTTTATACTATGTAGAGGTGCTCTTTCCTCCTCTATAAAAACCCCTTGCAAGCATTACACAATATTAGATATTTACTCGATATTTAATAAGTAGATACGTGGTAGAGACTTGCTGCAGCTATATTAGTTGTATAGTTGCAGCACGAATGGATCAGCTCGACCGGGGAAGGACCACGCTCTCACAGAATACCAGCGTAAAATAGCAGCTTAACGCTGCTGTGTTTCGTATGGTGAGTGTAGAGAACTGGAGACCCTTTTTACTGGAAATGAGGTATTCCATCTGAGTCCTCACGGGTGACAACGCATCTGCATTTTGATTTGTAATAGAGGTTAGATGTAGATGTCCATGGGCCGCAGCAACCACTTACCATCAGGTGGACTGTGTGCTTGTTTGTCACCCATATCCTATTAAAAAAAAGTAGGTATCACCCTGTTTCTGAGCCAAATGCCGGACTGCTGCGTGCACTGCTGTGTTTCGCTCTGAGGGATAGTAGGCTCAGAGAGTCAGAATAATTACGGGCTCCATTTTCAATTCAATTCCATTTCAGTCCTCAGAAGTATCGACACATTTGTATCCTTCTTGGTTTAACTGGCTGCAGGTGTTCATTGGCTACAGCACAGTAGCCACTTAACAACAGGTGGGCTGTAACTTTGCTTGTCATTTGAATTTTATAAAAATGTTATCAGTTAATTCCTTAAACGATATTTAATTGGAATTGATATACTAAGGTCATTATCAGATAAAACTCGATCATATATGCCTAATTGTAGGCACTTCGTAATTATAGTTATAATAGAGATACGTACGATAAATACCAAATACTATACGAAATTAGGTGTGGGTGCAATTCGTACTGTTCACACTGTCAAATCCCCATTAGATGACTAAGGAATAAATGACTGAAGCACGTAGAGCACTGGCTTTACGTGTTCCAGTCACGTAAATACCAATGGCTCCTGCGCCTGATCTCTCTCTCTCTCTCTCTCTCTCTCTCTCTCTCTCTCTCTCTCTCTCTCTCTCTCTGGTGGTGTCAGGATTCCAACGCATCAGGCTATGAGAGTGAGGGAACAGAGGGTGCACCAGTGCTTGCGCACAGGTCTTACGCTGATGCCTGGTTCATGCTTAAACTGGCCGCCATAACCAATTATCAGTCTGGAGAGCATGATTATTAAACGACTAATCGTAAAAATGAAAAACCGTACTAATATACCAAAATCACAGCATCCACTCACTATCAGTTGTACCTACTTTTGCCTGCCACTCGTAGGTCAAAAAATTAAAATATGTAATAAAAGTGAAAATATAGGTTACATCTATTCTTAAAATAATTTGCGGTAAAAGCAATCCGGAAAGCCGTGGTAGCTCAGGGGCCGTTGTAAATTTCACAGTACGCTAGCAACCCGGGTTCGATCGCCAGCACCAATGAAATTGTAAATTGATTGCAATTTTAAGTGCTGATTTACCACGTGTCTGGCGGTGAAGGAAAATATTGTGAGAAAACCTGCATGTCTGAGAAATAAGAAAAAAAAATCGAAGGCATGTGAAGTTGGTCAACATGCATTAAGGCAGCGCCGCGGACTTTTCCTTGCCCTAAAACCCTCTCAGAAATAAGAGGAGGCCTGTGCTCAGCAGTGGAACCGTATACATAGGCTGAATCTTTAACTTTTAACTTAACAATCCGGATTGATTTCAACAAAAGAAACTACATAATATATCAAAGTAATCAAGGAACGTAAGAAAAGAAATGCGTTAGTGAACATTTTCTCAGGTATAGATAACGATACAGTTATCGTGTACGAGAAGAGATTGCATAAACAAATACTCGACCGGATGCCGAATAACTATTCTCTAAAATAAATTTACAAACTCTAAAAATATCACCATCTTTTTTTCAAGCAACATGTTAAAGCGGAAAAATAATTGAAAGTTAATAAAGTTGCAGCCTAAATGGGTCCCACAGCTGGACACAAGTCTTTTCTCATTTCTAATAATAGAGTTATAAAACAGTTATTAAACTAGGCTGGCGTGCAACTCCAGTGGTTATATAATTTCTCAGGCACGCTAGTTTTCTTGTTTTCCTTTACATCCGAGTAAATGGTTTCTTTCTTCTTTTTAAAAAAAAAGTTAACCCTACACAATAGGATTTTGTTCTTTATCGTGTAGGCAGTTTACATGCATAAATTTCGCAAGGGCAAACATTCAAACTCGGAACTATTATTTATAGGCCATACAAATAGCTGTTCCGTGAGGGATTCGAACCCGCGGCTCGCAGCACCACAACTATTAATAAGCCACTGCGCCAAGGAGCCACTTAAGTGGTAAATTGCAATTAACAACTTTAATGAGGTCGGCAGAAATCGAGCTCGGGTTACTTGCGTATTAAGAAACTAAGTTACTCCGGATCAGGACAAAAAATCAGTTATTCGAGTTTTTTCGTCAATAAATTCTCATTAGCTGCCCGGAGTCAGGAAATTGGCGATGTCTAACTGCCGTGCCTCGGAAAGCACGTAAAGCCGTCGGTCCTGCGCCTGATCTCTCTCCGATCGTGTCAGTTTACCGTCACATCGGACTATGAGACTGAGCGTATAGAGAATGCATACCTGTGCTTGCGCATACACTTGGACACTTTAATCCTGTCCTGTGCCGATGGCTAGTCTCCATTGAGGCTGACTGCCGTGACAGAAATTCAGTCTGGAGGACAGTACTATTATAATATCAGAGTACAAAAATTTAAACAACACGCATTGATGATGAGCTGTGATGGTCCAAGTGAGAATGCTAGGTAATTAAATTAAATACATATAGCAGCATAACAGCATTAATCATGAAATTACTGTACTATCATCAATTCTTAATATGTCTAAGTGCAAGATTATTCGGACGCCTGGCAGCGGGTAAGACTGAATTACGAAATTCCATCACATTCATCTATACATAGATACATATAAAATAAAAATTAGTCATATTAATGCTGACTTTCATTTAACACCGCGACATATAAATAGCAAACAGGTAACACCTACATTAGTGATGCTAATATTTTTGTTACATCACACCTATAAAAAATGGCACATTGTGGGTTGTCCTCGGGCATGTCATCTCATACACTGTAAATTTTTCAGTGTTGTTTTAAAGTTAAATTTATTTTTATTCACATGTTCAACACCATCAAGTAATGTGAATCAAGTTAATGCAATAAGTCCTCGGATGCAATAAGACCTTTTTCGTGAGAAATGCAATCTTCGTAGATGAAATGTGTACGAAGTCTCATTTAGCATTAAGCTGTACGTAAAATTATTAGTACGTATATTTATAGGCGATGAATAATGAACGAAGATATGCGGATTAATTTAAACATTTCCTTTCTCA